TAAATAGCCCTAAGGCACTCAGCTGACTTGAGGGCATGAGTCATCTTTGCCATAGTTTTAGGCTGGCCATACACTGTTGGCCTGATTCCTCCATCAACACTAACAGCGTGCCGATCGAGGAATCCCGCTGTTTGCATTGAATCCAGACAGAATGCCCGAACAGAGCCGGCAGCTTATTTGCTGCCGGCTCTGATCATACGAAGATTTTCCGCAGGCTCCTTTGATCAGCTGATTGAGGGATGCCGACTGAAAGGGTGCCGACAGTGGCACCCACTGTGCAAATGTCGCACAATGTATGGGCACCCTAAGAAGTGGTCAGGAGCTCTTCTCGGAAGTGCGTCTGTTTGGAGGTCTTTTATTATTATTATTATTATTACACAGGATTTATATAGTATATATTTTACTGTCGTAAATGCTGGACACAGATACTATGCAGTGGAAATATTATGCAAAATGCAAATAGGCAAAATGTCACAAAACATGTGCAGTGAGTCGCAAAAATGAACCGCTTCCCACCCAGCGGGTGTAAATAAATGGCCAGACCGGAGCCTTCTAGATGCGGGAAACTGTCAAAATTTGAAACAGCCAGTAATGGCTGTTTACATATGAGCCGCCCAATTGCTTGTATGTGGTGCCTCACTTGGTGCGCCCCCTATCCGCATGTCCCTTGGTCTGCTGTGCCTGGTGCCGGTCCGGGACGGGCACAGCGGCTGTGTTCAGGTAGATTAGTACATGATCACCCGCTGATCTCCTCTCCCTGTTCTCTGAGTGCTGGGGTGATGTTTATTACATCACTTCTATATTCAGTTGTCATTCTCCAGGTACAGATCTCAGCTTCTTTGGGGTCCCTAGGTGACATTAGGGGTCTTCTAGGACCCGTTATGTCTCCATAAAAAGCACCTGTCACTGTAATTTGATATTACAGAGGGGGCTTCTTTGCACCCTATGTGATAACAATAAAGTTAAGTTTAAAAAAAAGTTTAAAAAAATGAAAGTCACAAAAAAAATTAAAGTTGCACATAAAAAAACACAATGTTTTTAAAAAGTCCCCCGCCCCCACATACACATGCAAACATGCATTGGTTGTGCCTACGTGTGAAAACGACGATTGCGCCGCACTTGTTACATATCACCACGAACATCAGAGTGCGAGCAATAAATGTAGGGCCATTATTCATTGATAACACTAAACTGATGGGCGGTAAAAGCTTTTAAATCGTCACCTATGGCCAATTTTGGGTATGGCAGGTTTTTGAGGGCACGTACAATTTTAGGGCTTTATGTGTTTGGTGTCTATTTAACCGATATGACCCAGTCTTTTATATTTTACCAAACAACTGAGTAATAAAAATTGTTTCATAGCATAGTGAAAACTGTTTAAAAAGAAAAATTCTGTACTTTTTTCGTTTTATAGTAAAAAATAAAACCCCCCAGTGGTGACTAAATACCATCAAAAGGAAGCTCTATGTGTCCCCCAAACATGGTATAAAATGCATTTCAGTACGGCGTTGCATTAATTAATAAATGTCAAAGTACTGCAGCGCTGAATACTGAAAAGTGGCCTGGACAGGAAGGGGGTGTAAACACTCCAGGTATCAAGTAGTTAATATGTCACAAGAACATTTAAAAAAAGATGCATAACAGAGATAAAACTAGTTGCCATGACGTTTTGGTATTTGCACCTTAAAATTTTGTGTCAAACCCGTTTATAAATTCCACCTCAATGTATTTTTTTTAACTAAAATGTTGTGTTTGATAAAGAGTTGTGCTAATGTAGAATGTAAAAATTTGCAACTGCCGCCATTTTATTCTGCAGTGTCTTTGCTTTCAGAAGGGGGGGGTTGGGGGTTTGTGAAAACTTATTGTTATGGCAACCAATCAGCTTCTCTCTTCAGTTTGTAAAGTTAATCTTTGAATATGAAAGAGAGAAGCTGATTGGTTGCCATGGGCAACTGCTCCAGATTGTGTCTGCTCCAGTTTTCCTGAGTTCCCCTCATTGTTGTGGGATTATTTCAGTCCTTCTAGTGCCCTCCATCAGAATGATGTAAAACTATATAAATAAACTTTCTGACATACACAGCAGGCTATTAGTACTGATCAGAATAGAAACGTTAAATGTGTATAAACTTTATTATTATTTTTAAGGTGTATAAATAGAAGTGTGTCACTTTTTTTTTGTTTTGCAAGCTGGATGTGCACAGTGTTGTATAGTAGGTGCAGTGTTCCCGAGGCCTGAGGCTAGGGCCCAGCACTACATGTCCAGCCTCCTGTGATGCCCAGCAAAAAAATCTGTCACATTGACTGTGACCTGCACTGACTGGCAGGCTAGGCCATGCTTAAAGGGCTAGTAGCCCCTGGTCAGAGGTCTGCAGCCGGCAAGTACATATTCAGCGCTGGTGCATTTGATGTAAGCTTCCACGTGCGTTTTGCCGCCCGTTGGATGCTCATATAGGATGCAGTGAACCGTTGTGATGGGAAGTGTACACAATCCAGGGATGGCTTTAAAAAAATGTCAGCGGCATGCGCTGCGCAATGTTCCAATTTTATTTCTGCAGTTGGTGATCTTTTACTAAAACGCAGGATTCTAAATCACTTGCTTAGGATCTTGCGTTCCTTTGGCACTTGAATGCTTATTTTGTTATTTGCATGGAATGTATCTTAAATATTTGATTGAACGGGATTGTCTTACCGCAGATGGCGTGCTGTCACTGAATGAAGCTGGTTTATGTGGCAGCTTATCTTATAAAACAGGCTCCGTTCACAAAGCTTTGGCGCAAGTACTAAGTATCTTTGTTATAAAGATACTTTTTTTGATGGAGAGCAGTTTCTTTATTTTAGTCATGTGACAGTAATCGTCCAATCTCATTGGACTCCAGCGAGTGCAGCCGTCACGTTACTGAAAATCAGTCTCCTTGTCCTGGTGTGTTGGCTTTGTGAATTGAGCTCAGTGACACCTTTTGTGGTTCAGCGGCTGGTTGACTGTAGGAACTGAACACGCAGAGGGAATGATGGGATTTTGGTGCGTTTATTAGGAAGTTGATGGAAATGTTGAATGACTTGCAGGTCTGCAGCTTGGTGACGGTGGACAAGCCTGTCATTTTTTTCCCCCAGTACTAATAATTGCTTCTCTATCCAGTGTTACAGAAATCCATCTCATGGGACTTCATTATATAGTGATGGTGTGCAGAATCCCAGATCAACCAATCACACGGCAGCTTTCATTTCTCTACCAGACAATTTTGGATTTGTTACTTTTTTTTATCTTAAAAAGAAATCTGTGAATAGAGAGAACTGATGTTATTATTGGCGTCACCCTGTGTTTGTCTGAAACATGACAGCATCTTACGAAAAAAGCCAATTCGTTTTTTGTCTCTGATCTCCGTGCTCTCTAAAGCTGCGTACACGTGGTTAGAATTTCGTTTTGGAACATCAATTTTCTAATTGTTAATGGCGTCCAGTTGACGAAAGTGGCAAAAAAAAAGTTATGTGACTTTGTCTTGAACCAACAAAGTTCTAAAAGTGAATGTGGTTTTCATTTGGGAAACTCAATTATTTCCAAAATCGAATGTTAAAACCAAACAACATTTCGAGTGACATTTCAAAAGTCTCTAATGGCATTATCGAATGTTCTGATTAGATTTTTCTTATGAACATTCATAGGAAAATCTACCAGTGTACAGCCAGCTTTAGACACCGATCTGGGAAAAACATGTGGATCAGGTAAGTCGGCCTTTTTTCAGGGACTCCAAGTACTGGAGACAAGGGATCAGCATGACAGCCGGTGAACTGCTATTTTCAGAAGGGTAGCCTCTGTACTTCTTTGGTCAGGGCATTGTTCACACCATATCTGTTGAGCCGCACATGTGTTGTGTGAACAATGCACATAGAAAACACGTGGTCTATGTGCCCCGTTCACACCATACATGTGCCACTCAACAGATATGGTGCGAACAAGCCTTGAGGGAGTGAAAATCACTCAGCCTCATAGTTCGAGCCGACGTGTGATAATTAAACTGTCACTCGTTGGCTCAATAGATCGGAGGGTGAGCAAACACATATCGTCACTCGCTCACTTCTCGATCATCTCCCTGCAGAGAGCGATGACTATCAGTCACTGCTCCCCACAGGGATTCCCCCCCTCCTCACTCTGATCCTCCAGCATTGATTGGAGGAACTGGGAGGGGGCAGGCACAGCTGGCTCTGCCTCTGGTTAGGCAGAGTCAGCTGTCATTCACGCAGCTGGGTGGATCTCGACAGCATTGTCTAGATCCGTCCTGGCTGCGGCGCTTCAGTATACCGCGAGCTGTAGCTCGCGTTATACTAAGCTTTTGGGTCACGGGAGGAGGTTAGTATATGTCCTCCCGTGACCCTTAAGAGAACTATGGGGAAAAACACTGACCCCATAGTTCTCTTTTAAAGGTTCCCTTCCAATAAACATGTCAAGGCCTCCATTTTGGGAGGGTCAAAAATAATCATTTTGTTATCATCTTTTTTTTTTTTCCTTTTTAACTTCCACAGAAATACCAGATCAATTGGTGTGAACATCCCAAGCCGTTCATCTTTGAATATTAGACCTCATGTGTTTATGGTCATGATCAAATTAGGATTAGAACTTTCTGGGGACGTGTTTAATACCCGATCTGTTACAGATTAGGCTGCTGTCCGACAATTGTCAGTGTTGGATCACGGATTCTTGCAATCACCCCCTAATGGATGTATGATCTGATTTCTTCTAGCGATAATTTCAGCAAAGGGACTTCTTTCAATGATGGTTCCATTGTTCGCATTTGCACAATTCCAGTTTGTTGATTTTTTTTGTCTTTTATTTGCAGAGAAGTTTTGTTTAAGTTTGGGCACTGACATTTACATTTTTGTGAACTCCTATGAAGGTCAGCAATTTTAAGCTGGTATCTCACATGATATATCTCATATGATATTTGTGTCCTAAAACTAAAACCGCTTGCAGCACTGCGATCTAATGTTTGTGTATTATTTTGTAGGTGTCATGGATGAACTCCAAAGCTTGGACCCCAGAAGGCAGGAGTTGCTAGAGGCCAGATTTACCGGAGGTGTCAGTGGCAGTACTGGAAGCACTGGGAGTTGTAGTGTTGGAGCAAAAGTGAGTGAACTTTTTTTTTTTTTTTTAAATGTGAATCATTTTGCTTTGGTAGGCAACATTCTTCTGATTATTTAGGTTTAGTTGATGTAACAAAATTTCTGCCTTTACTGGCTGAAGCCAACAGGTGTACCGTACATAAGACTGACAGTTTGTTTTCAGACAGCTGGGCCCCAACTGTAGACCTGACTAGCTGTGAAGGATCGAAATGATGTTGGTTCAAAGGATACGTTAATAGGGGACCCCCCCCC